CTCCACGTCTTACGTCCGATATCTACCTTTGAGTCTACAATTCACCTCGCGGTTAAATTTATCTTCTCTCACATTCAGGATATCTGGTGTTCGGGTGATTGGAATCTCACTGAGTATATCATCAAGTGGTTAGCCGGTGTATCTGCTGGAAGGAAGATGTACTCGATCCTTTACCTGAAATCTGGACAGGGTTGGGGCAAAGGTATTATAACAGATTTCATTCAGCGCAGCGTCTGTCTCTTATACACATCTAGATGTGTATAAGAGACAGCTTTAGGAGTTAAACAGTTAGTAGTGTTATAAAAACACAAATTTCTCTATAAATTTCATTTCTAATTTATGAAATTGAGTTGTATGGGTTTAATAGTATGTTTGGAAAAAAAGTTACAGTTTAAAAAAATTCATAAAAAAATTTTTATTTACGTGTATGAAATTGTAAAACGTAATACAAACAAAATTAATATAAAACTTATAAAACTAAAATTATCATATTACTGGTGAATTTCACCAGAGGTAAATTCACCACTGATGAATTAATTTTAAATTAACCACTGGTAAATATAAAATTAATCCTTAATTTAAATCTAGAAAATTTAATTATAATGATAACAAAAAAAATTAGTAATGAATTTGAATAAGAAATTTTCACATTTTGTTAAAAAATAATTTACCATCAGGAATTTCCAATTCATTTTGTTCTTCGGAATGAAGATTTGGGTTATTATATGTATCATCCTCATCTTAATTATCAAAATAAAATAAAATTGAATAAATAGTATAAAAAATTAATAGTATAAATAAGCATATTTGGAATTTTACTTACCATTAAAATTAGCAATATTAGGTCCTTTTGTTTGTTGTATTGTTTCTTTATATGTCAAAATTAAAATAAAAGTACATTAATAAATGTATGCTTAAGAAATAAATAATGTTAGTTTATTTACTTACCATCTTTTATTTGTAGTTTTTTAAACACTTTGGATAATTTTTTACTACCAGCTAAAATTTAAAATTTAGAATATTATTAATTTATACAATTTCTTTTTTATAAAAACAATAAGTTATTGAAATACATAAATAAATTTACTAACCTTTAAAAATACTATTTAATTTTGATGATGTTCTACTATTTTGATTGCTTGATTTATTAAAATCATCAACTAAAGAAAAAGGTAAGATTTAATAAATATCTAACTATAAATTCAATACAATTTGAAAAAATACTTACTATTATTTGGAATATTAAAATCATATGATTTATTACTATGAAATGCTGTTTAAAAATAAAAATACTTTAATGTAATGCAATATTATAAATAAATTTAAATAAAAGTTGTATTTATATTATTACCTTCTAATTCCTCTATGTAATATAAAAAAGAGTAATAATATTATTAATAATAACAGATATTTTAAATAATAGAAATAATATTTGTTTAAAATATTACCTTCTGTTGCATTTCTTGGTTCAGATAGATTTTCAAATTGATGAATTTTACTTGTAAATAGTCTGCTATTTGTACTACTATTTGTTTTATCTTGTTCTAAATTCCTATATATTTCTGATTGAAATGATTCATCTGGCGAACTTTGATAAAATAAATTAATTTTAGTCATTTTTTTATCAAGTGTAATAATATCAGGTCTTTTTGATGGATCAGCATCCCAACATTGTTCCATTAAATTTTTATATTCTGCAGGAGTTCCTAACACAATTTTTGGTCTAATACCATTAATAATATTCATTACAAGATCATAATCATGTTCATGATTAATAAATGGTGGTTGTCCAGATGAAATTTCCCACATAAGAATTGCAATACTATAAATATCAGATTTAAAAGTATATTCTTTTCCATTAATAACTTCTGGTGCTATGTAAGGAAGATTTCCATATATACATTTTGATGATTTATCAGCAGGTCCACAAAATCCAAGATCGCTAATATACCATCGGCTATTAAATTGTGAATACAATATATTTCCTGAATGTAAATCTCTATGAATTGCATTTTCTTCATGAATAAAATAAAGTGCACTAATTATTCTAAAAGTAATATCAATTCTTTCTTTCCATGTAAGTTTATTATGATTCTGATATAAATATTCTCTTAAATTTATATCCATTTCCATCATTACAAGCATATAATTTCCATTTGATATGTCTTGTGTTAAACCAAAACATTGGACAATTTCTGTAAATTTATTGCCTATAGTTAAATGTGATTTAGCCTATATAAATTTAAAGACTTGTTAATAATATAAACTAGTTACAGTAATTACAAATACATTATTTAGATTACAAACCTCTTCAAACCAACTTTGATTTGCACTTTCAACATTTTCTAAACTTTTAAGTATCACTTTATATATTCCAAACCTTTTTAATTGTTGATTTTTAGAATCCCATTCTTCATAATTTCCATTAATCCAATTTGCTGTATAAATTTCAGAAAAACCACCTTTTGTTAGATACTTAATATCTTGTAAATTATTATATGGAATCCATTCAACTATCATATTTGGAAATAGTGTTTCCATCTGACATTTTTGGATTAAATTATCAATTTCATCATTTCCAGATGTCCAATTTGAAAATTTTGCATTTAAATAATTTCGAACACAAAACTCACAATATAACGTAGCTAAACATTCTTGTTTACAATTTTCACAAATTCTTTTTGTTCCTGAATTATTAAGAATTTTATAATAATCATAATCTTTAGTCATCCGATTTATTGCAAAAGTTTTTTCATCTTCAGTAAAAGAATTATCAGCAAGAACTGTTTGTTTTTTAAATTCATACTGTTTGTGTATATCATTGTGAACATTATAATCTATTAATGCATGTAATCTGGCAATTGCTGCATGAACAAATTCTTCTCGAATAACAGACATTGATTTTTTTTTAAAGCAGGTTTTAAAAGGAAGGGGGGTGGGTTTTCATAGATTAAAAGCTAAAAAAAATTACGGTAACAAAAAAATAGGCTGAACGGAGTTTTGTATCCGAAATAATTAGTGATGATCTACAGTCTTAATAATGTAGTACACTTACATGGCATCGTACAAAAATGTTTCTGCATTCATGTCACACACGTCACAGTGGTCACACATACAGTATTATGAAATAAAAATTTTCATATTATTTATCTGCGTTTATAATAATAATTTCTTGGCTAAAAGCGAAACAAGTAATCTAATACTAACCTAATCATTAAGAACAAAAAACATTCAAAAATATTTTCAAAGAAAAAAAAAGACAAGACTTTTAATAGTGGTTTGTGTCAATAAGACTAAGTAAAAAGAAACTGGTATAAATCATTATTAATATCTCGTAATGATACCGAACATCCCCATTTGGATGTTGATCTGAATATGTATGAATGTAAAATTTTTTTAAAGTTTGAAAGTAAAAGTTTAATCAATAAGATTTGAATTGTAAAATTTTGGTTTAAGTTGAAATGTGAATTTTCTTAAGTTTGAATATTAGGTATAATGTGAAGTTTGTTAGGTTCAAATGTAAAGACTTTTTTGACTTTATTAAAGGTCATAAACGTCTCTCGTTTATGATAGTTTACTATGTAAAATTTATTAGATACAAAGTTTATTATCACCGTTATAACCAAGCTAAATAGTATCACAATGTAGTTATATTCTTGCTACGTATTTATCTTCCCTGACAAGAAAAATTAAAAAAGAAGTTCTATAAAATGCCATTGGATTGATAAATTTCATTGATTTAAAAATTTGATTTTTGTTGATTATTTTTAAACACGCAAACACTTTTATAATTGACGTATCAAGATAATTACTTATTCCACTATAACTAGACGGACTGGTAGCTTTACCTTAAATAATTGTATATTGATTGTTCATTACTATTTTTGATATCTAACAATAAGATTTACGAGCAATAGAATTATAAAACAATGTTAGACAAGTATTGTAATTGGTACTTACCTCTTTGATCAAATTTATTCCAATTTGTTATTTTGTATTACTAATCCTAAAATGAATTCTTAATACTATAAAGCACTTTTTAATTTTCATATACAAATGTTTTCCATAAGATTTACGGAACGTGATTTTTGATGTGAAAATTTGAAAAGATTAAATGAAATCTTATTCAACAATCACAAGATTAAAATTCCATATATTAGAATAACAGATTGAGTTTACATTATTTCTTACCTAATTTTAGTTCCAATGTTTTTTTTCGTCTAAAATATATCAAAATTAAGCACCTTAATTCTTTTTTAATGTTATATTAACAAATGGAATAAAATCGTTTCATAATAATGGAATATAACTAAAAAATCAATAAACTTAGTTGAATATCATACGATAACTGAAGTAAATAAGTAAATTACCGGTAAGTATGATATCAATATATCAATTCATTTATTTAATATTTTATGACTTTATTAAAAAAAATTTAGTTAATGAAAAAGAAATGATTCAACAAAAAAATAAAAAGTCAAAATATTAATATTATTAATAGGCAAATTTCTTACGTAATAATAACCAAATAAATTATTTCTAATTCTATTTATTTATTTTTTCTCATAAATGATAACGAAATACTATATAGTAATTCACTCCTTAATAACTGATTTGTATTTATCTGTTATTTTGAATTTAAGTTAACATCATTATATTTAATATGACATATTTCAAATCATTTATTAAAACCAAGACTAGAGTAGTAAAATGGTTTGTAAGATTTTTAGTTTGTAATTTAAATATATTGTATTTAAATACATTTATTTTAAATTACAATGGTAATTATATTAAATTTAGGCCTAAAATATGAGTAATATTTAAAATAAAGAATTCATCTAGACAATCTACATGCATAATTTTATTTTTTCTTTATACGTAGTAGAAAATAAAAAATTTATATTTTTAAATAGAAAATTTACGTTTCGCGATATTCTACTTTAGTAACTTATATATTCTCATGCGAGAACAAGGAATTATTGATAAAATATATGAAGTATTCTTATAATAGCAATAAAAAGATTCACGTCATTATGGGTAATAAGATTTTGATTTTTATTTGTAAATTAGAAAAATTGAACCAGTTTATTATTTACTAGTACAAATAATTTTAAATAATACTGTATACTATTTTAGAAAATTTATCGAACAATGAAAAATGATTTAGAAACAAGTGCATTAATAATTATTTCAATCACACCATCATCACCAACATTTCATATTTTCGCTAACGCTAATAATATCGATAAAAGAAAAAATTACATAATTGAAAAAGCAACAAACATAATAATTATAATAATTCTTTCGTCCTAATAGATCACGTTATAATCGTAGTAATGAAAATATTAAAGATAATTTAATTAATAATGACAACGCTAACGATACCAACGAAAGCAACAACATCACTATCACCAACGTTACCAATATTTCACAACATCACTATCACCAATATCACCAACAACATCATTATCATCAATAATTAAACATCAACCTTTACCGCTTTTCCTGCTAATAGAAGGTGTAAAGGTGTAGAATGATGGTTGCTATGATTGCCGGAATTATTGCCATAATTTTAGTTGGTGGAATTGTTATTTTTTATTTTATTGTCCGAAGGACTATTTGCCGTATTGCATTAATAAAATTGGTGTTAACCCCCTGTTTTTGTCCCGTCACAAACATCCCCTTTTAATACGCCCTGAAATATATTAATATCGTGTAATTTAGTCGTTACCTGTATCATAACATCCGACCGTCCAAAGGATTTAAAGGTTTCCGTTTTCCCAGTAAATAAATTAGCACTTGGCAGTAATGAATTTGATTCATCTATAATACTTAATTTTTTTTTTGGCGGGATGAAATATGTATATGTATGTAATAATTTTATAAAAGAGAAAAAGGCAAGTAGAAAAATAAAAAGATAATAATTATAGATATAAAAATAATTTTTTTTCTTTTTCTTTTTTCTTAATTTAATTGATATTGATCTAATTATTCAATCGTTTTTTTCTTATCACAAAAAAAAATAAATAAATAAATAAAATAGATGCACAAAAAAAAACCTGAGTTAAGATTGAAATGACTGTATAGGGATTGAAGAGAAAGAATTAAAATATTAAAAGAAAAATTTTTAATAAAAATTAACCCCCGATTTTTATACCAAATTATTATTTGCATTATCACGTTTTAGTCTAAAAAATTTTTTCTTCTGTCTTTAAAATTTTTTTCTATTCGATTAACACATAATTTATTGTGATATTGTTTGATTTCTCTATAACAGGGTCGCCATTATTATTATATATTAGATCATTACGCGAATTTAACATATGTTCACTCAGAACAATTTCATTCCCTTTAACTCTCATGTACTTGGAATATGGTTCTGATGAGTATATAGTTGTATCGACATAGTCTGGCAATTTAAGGATAATTTGCGCTTTATGAAGAACCATTCCAACAGGTTTACGGTTAGAAGTTTGATATTCACTAAGTCGTTTCATTGGGATGGAGGATACCAACTTTAACACAAGGAAGAAATCAGATATAAGTTAATAATCAAAGTTGCAAAATGCAAAATTTCTTGTTCGAGAGGTAAACCATTGGGAGACTCTTACCAGTGAGCGGTGGCGGTTGCACGATGATGTGGATGTGAAGTGCATAATCATCTGGGAAAACCATTTTCATCTAGACTGAATATATTATTTGGAGTCAATATAGTCAATTTCTGGACTCCGAGTATTTTCTTGTTTCTCCACATACAAAAATTTCAGCCTTCCAAAGTCCCAAATTTTTAGGTGAAATACTGCCACCATCAAAGTCATTTGATATCTTCTTCTAACTATGCTCTTTCAGAAATCCAACGGTAAAAACACTAATGGGGATACTATCATCAATAAGAATTTCATCGGAAATAACAGCCGGGAACTCGTTAATCCCTATAAAAAAAGAAAATTCGGAATTTGTCCTGAAAAGTATGGAAAATGTCCGGAAATTTTCCGTGCGTCCGGAAAACATTCGGAAACGGTCATGTTTTGGAACATTTTCCGGACGCTCGATTCTGGACAAATTCCGGACAAATTCTGGAGTGTCAAGAAAATGTCTGGAATTTGTGCGTCCGGAAAATGTTCCAAAACGTGACCGTTTCCGAATGTTTTCCGGACGCACGGAAAATTTCCGGACATTTTCCATACTTTTCAGGACAAATTCCGAATTTTCTTTTTTTATAGGGTAAAAGTGCTACCTAGAACGAAACAGTTTAATCACTTTGAATATATATCTGAAAACGCGAAGTTCAAGAGTTAAAACAAGGTTTAAAAAAAATTTAATTGTTCAGTGAAATACAAGTAAAGACCTTTTTAGACGCGTTGTTAGACTAGCAGGTGGTGAATTCTCCTTGAATTTAGTTTATGTTTTCATAAATGTTCTGGCTAATTACTACGAACTTTGAGTCAGTAATTCAAACTCTTACTTTCTTGACGAAAAAAAATAATTTATTGTCACTGTCACGTGAAGAGTGCCGATTCTCAAAAAAAAATATCAGCGGAACTAATGTTTCGCACGTACCTACCGATGGTGAGGTGGTAGATGTGATTATTGGTAAACTGGTATGGCGAGTCCTAGAAATGGTCACTGAACTCAGGTCGAAACCATTACTCTAACCAGAGTGTTCAGAGTGTGATGGGGGACTGTTGCCAAATGGTTCATAAAGGTCCTATAGCATCTTGGTACCCGAGGGCCCTTCGGGGTTATAATGGTAGGGGCGGGACTACCAACCACCATATGGTGGTCTACCAAGTCTACCAATTTGACGGAGCTGTGAGCACATTGCGGTTGACTCTAACCTTGTGATAATGTGAAGATTGTGGTAGCATTCAGCAGACCAACGCATTATCCCTCAGAAATGGGGAGACGTTAGAGAGTAGATTTAGGGTCCCAAGGGGCATTCTCGGGGGACGCCCTAAATCTTTGCCCAGAGGGTGAGGTCTTGTTTACGAGATTTATAACCACAGCACCCCTAATAGCATAGTTTTTCGCTATTTTATAGTTGTTAACTTCTATTATGTATTTGTCATTGGTTACTCCTCTCTATAATAAAATAAATAAATAAAAATGTTTCGCACGTAAATAAAAGCATATTATTTCAATTGTGGCTGTGTATTTGCAAGGAATACTGTATCTATTTTTTCTGTTCTGAAATTTTGAGGACCTTATTAGGCGGAGAATATAAACTTTCGGTTAGTTTTACTAAGGTCAATATTTTTTAATTCTGATAATTCTATGTATCGTCGAATCATGTAATTTATTTTCTCATAAAGCCACATATTCTGATCGTGACATTTTGTCACGCACGGGTTATACAATGTCAAACGCTCAGCCTACAATGGATTCATTAAGAGAATCAAATACTGAACTTGCAAATCTTAGGAAGGAGAATGCCGAGATTCCCGAACTTTATAGAGAAAAGTAATTAAAGTTTGCTGAGGTTGATGCGAAGCTGAGGCAGATTATTGAGGAGAATGCAAGGCGCGATGTTGAGCTTAAGGCCGAAGTAGTAGTAAGACTAAGGTATGACCATCAGGAATTCAAAAAAGACGCAAAATAAATCTACGATATATACCTACGAGTATGCTCATTTATTTATTTAACAAAAAAAATAGCGTATTTATTTGATTTATGAAAATAGCGTATTTATTTGAAAAAGAAAAATAATGTCTTTATTTAATTAATAAGAGTGCAGCATATTTAAAATTTTATATGTAATACAGTAATATAAGCGTATTTATTTAATTAACAATTAAAGAAAACGTATTTATCCAACTAATAAAAAAACATATTTATTTAATTAATAAGAGTAGTAGTATAATATAAAATTAAATTTATTTATTCAATTACTAAACATTTAGAATAAATTTGTAAATAATGAAAAAGTTTCGATACTTAAAATATCCAACAAGGACCCAGAAATATATATATAGGGGTCAGGTGGCGAAAAATTTTTTTACTATGAGCTGTACGCAGAGACTTTTTATATGAGTAGTACGCATAATTGACACCTGATATTGAAAATCCTGCAAAAATACGCAAATAAAATTTCAGACATTAAGTTATTAATTATTTTATCATGGCTTCTATATTATTTATAAAACCAAATACTAATGTGAAAAAATAGAATTTACCATTTTTTTAATAATATTTTTCTAAAATTTCACTTTTTAACCCTTAGAAATTTCTTTCAATTTATACTAAATATTACAATGCGGTTAGTACGTACAGTAAATATATTATATATATAAGATTAGCCAAATTTAGGCCAAAAATACGCAAACTAATTTTTTACATATAAAAATTTTGATAAAAAATACGCAATCTTGATGACCTAACTATAGATGAAAAATTCTAAAATTGTACACAAATCAAAACTTTACTCCGTCTAATTCCACTATGATGGCGACGCATCTGTGTACCCTACCCCTGTATATATATTTCTGGGTCCTATCCAACAACTAGCTACGGCACTACCATATGATTCACTATCCACGTCTTTCATATGTTATATATGTTGTTAAAGTTTTATGTTGAAATAAACTTTGAATATATCAATATCCCATTAATCTAAAAAAAAGAAAAAATTAATAAAGAAAAGAAAAGCCCACTTGTATGTAATCTCCTAAAAAAATCATCTCAAGTTCTCAACAGTAGACTTTTCGAAATAACATAATAACGTCTAAATTCAGAGTCTAAGGGAACCACTTTGTAGTAAAGAGAAGGAAAAAAGAACATTAGTACAATGTTCTTAACTAAGAAAAAAAAAATCTTCACACTCTTATATACATACTAGTATACCACCTCCAATATTTAAAACCGGTACCTATAAAAAAATTAGGGAATATTAGTAAACTTTTTTTAAACAAAATAAAAAAATCTTACATATTTCTCTTATTACGTACTCACTTTATTGGTATTCACAAAACTTTATTTGTCCTAAAGTCGAGATCTATTAAAGAAAAAAGGTAAAGAGCGTTAGTAACTATTCTTAACAACGTTCTTAACTAAAAAAATTCTATATTATATAAAAGTAATAGTTATCAATGATATTCCGTACCATAAAGTCCTTTAATATACTTATTTTGACTAATAATGATGGAACTTTTTATTCCAATATCGATATACTTTTTATCCATCTTTTTAAATAAACCCACCCGTGAGAATGTCAAGAAATATTTTAACTAGGAACCGTGGGATAAACTATATTTTATATACTATGTATCCGCTTCCATACTCATGACTAAAACACATTCTTACGTGAAATTACTAATAACAAAACAAAAAAATGAAAAGGAAAACAAGAATGAATTAAAGAAACTTACATAAGTATCTGCAATCAGTAAGGCAGTAAATGAAAAAAAAATTACTGTATATTATGGCACGTGACTACCTTCAGCCAATAAAAAAAATTTTGATCAAAATTTATTTTAACGACAAGCGTCCAACAATATATTACGAGTAAGTTAGCGAATAAAAAAATACACTTGCGCGGTTACGCCACTTAATTTATTTTAGGTTTAATTTACAAGAAAAAAATATGTAAGATTTAAAAATTTAGATAAATTAAAAAAAAAATATTTATTTATTTATTTATTTATTTAGAGTATCGCGTATAGTTTATATATTTGTAACGGTACAGTATCTGATATTATCATACATATAAAAAATTTACGCCAAGAGGTTGGTGCAACAAACAATATTATTTCCCAATTTTTCCGTATTATTTTGCAATATTATACAAACAAAAAATAAATTATTTTCCCAGAAATTTTAAAGGGATTTATTTTTAGAATCTCAAAATAGAATTTTATTAATCATTGTAAAAAAAAAAAAAAATCACACTAGTTTATATCTACACTAGTTTATATTATGCACAAAAGGTTTTAACAATGGATAAATTTTCATGATCCGCCGAATATAGTTTTGAATTTTAAGGAGTGATATCGTTAATTATTTTACGGGGTACTTTTTTGATTATATTCTAAATTTGGAAACAATTCTTTAACAAACATTTGACGAATGGTGATTATCATTTGTAAACTTGATAATACATCTCCAATTATAGTTGATAATTTGATATAATTTCATATTATTCTCAAAATTTATTTAAACATCGAGTTAATTTTTTGAAAAAAAAAAAAAAAAATTCATTTTTTCATCCCTTTTTTTTTGACATGGCAAAATTAACTTCAATTCCTATTGATGATACGACCAATAGCGGATACACCAGATATCAAACTAATCCACGATATATACGTACTGAAGCTGGTTCTACATATTCTCAATCTCGAGAGACAACGGCATCTCGTTTTAGCGTACGTCTAGATAATACATTTATTGATTCAAACCCTTTGTTAAAATCTCTTTACGATCAAGTGGATTCGATGTTACAACAATCTTCTGGTCAAGATGTGACGAAAATATTTTTTACCATTCTTGTGGCCATCGATAAAAATCTTTCAAATCCAAATTCACCACTTTCAATGAATTCTGATGCTAATGATTTAAGAAGATTATATAGTATTCCTTCAAATGGTAGAATGAATATCACTTTAAGTTTAATGAGACCACCTCAACAATTTACTACGTCATCATCATCTCATGAAGAAATCGAAGAATCAACAAATTTGGAAGATTTTGATTTTTCTTCTTATCATAGAATTGATTCAGATTTACTTCCTCCACCACCTGAAACCTGGACTGATTCGGATATGACTTCATTAATTGATCAAGCCACTGAAGAAATGGAAAAATCGAATAATACTTCATATGCTTATGGTGCCTATCGATAAAAAATATATAAGTAGTAGTATAAGTAGTATATATAAGATATCGGTAGTATATAGTTTATTGGATGTCGGTAGTATATAGTATATTGGATGTCGGTAGTATGTCGTGTGCGTGGTTATCTTGGTTAAGTATATCAAAGTATATAGTATATTGTCGGTAGTATCGGTATTCGGTGGTTAATTTTTATTTATGAAAGGTTGAAAAGTTGAAAAGTTGAAAAAGTTCTTTTTTTCGTTCAAATACTTAATGTTTTGTTTGAAAATTAATTCTTAAATTTTTTTTTTTAAAAAAATATAAAAAAAATATAATAAAATAATTTTTCTTTTCTTTTTTTGTAATTTTTTAATTTTTATTTTTTTTTTATTTTTTTTTTTTCAATAATAAATTTGTAATAATATATTTTTTTTTTTTGCTATTTCCCCACAAAATACTTGGAACAATTATTGTCGATCATATTATCACAAAAATGGATTACGTAATATTAAGTAAGATAATATATATTTTTTCGTTATCGACCAAAAGAGAATCTATAGAAATGTTTAAAATTATGAAAAGCACGGGGAAAAGGTAAAAATAATAATAATGATTTTTTTTTTTTACTTTCATGAATTATTTATTACATTATTATTATTTTTTTTTTAAAACAATTTACCGCAAAAATTAAGTTTCACGTACAATGTATTAATTAGTTAATGAATATGGTCATATATGGAATATGGAATAAAAATCTCGGAATTTTTGTTAACAAAGAAAAAAAGAAAAAAAGAAAAAAAATAAAAGAAAAGAAAAAGGAAAATTGTAAGGTAACAAAGCAACAAAAAAAGAAAGAAAGAAAGAAAGAAAGAAAGAAAAAAAATAAAAAAATAAAAAAATAAAAAATAAAAAAATATATATAATAGATAATTTAATAAACCGGTATTACAATACATTAAAATTCAAAAATATCAAACATTTTTGGTTGTGAAGAAAAAAAAAAAAATAAACGGAAAGAAATGGAAGGTAATTACAGAATTAGTTAAATTATAGATCATCCCAAACAATGACTTGATCATTAGATTAACCATTTTAAGAACCTACAGGATCGTGCTTTACAGGTTTGAATGCAGAAAGGTAGTATTATAGATTATTAATAATTTTTAATAAGTATAAATATATACAATTTTATTTTTTTACCGTATTTACGGAAATTTTTTCTTTCAAAATAATAAAAATATTTTAAATGACTTTAAATGACTTTCTAATTTTAATTTAAAAAAAAAAAAAAAAAAAAA